GCTGCTGGAGTAGTTCCCACTTGGTCTCCAGGACCTTGTTCTGCTGTTCCAGGAACCGCACCTGCATCAGGGGAGGAAGAAAAGGAGTCAGCCTCTTGAGTTGGGCATGTGGGGCTGCCCATCCCAAATGGTGGAAATGTGGAGAAGGAACCCAATTCTTCAATCTGCAATTGCCCCTGTTTTTTAATTTGGAAAGGATGAAGAGTTGGAAAACGGAGAGTTAGGATTTGTTGAGTGATTATGCCATACCTGTTATTTTCATGTATTTCCATCATATTTAATCCTCATAACCACCTATAAAGGAGTTGCTGTGATCCCCATTTTGTAGATAAGGAAACTGAGACTCAAAGAATTTAAGTTTCCCAAAGTGACGAGTCTACTGAGTGACAGAGCTAAGAATCAAACCCAGGACTGCCCTGGGTCTAAAGGGATCCTTCAGAATACAACTGAAGGAGGTCAGCACAAATAAAGTTATTTGTCATTGTTTCTCCAATGTAAGCTTTTTTCAGCTCCAGAAAGGCAGTGAAAACAGTCAATGAGATCTAACATTTCTTTACAGGTTTCACGTATGAAGACCTTTCAGTTATTCAGCTTGCAGCTGACCTAGAATTCACTTCAGATCCTGGGCTCAGTCCCCCACAGACCCAGCACACGCTTCTCTGCCCCAGCATGGACAGCTCAGTTTAATATTGGCTGAAGCACAACAACGTTTGGAAGATGAGGCAGTTGCCAATACTCCTCATTTAGAGGCAGGCCCAAGATCTGTGCTAACTCAAGTTTTCATGACCAGCTAGTTTGGATTATCAAGCAATTGCTTTTCAGGAGGAATTAAAGTAACTGCAATAATTTCATGACTAATGCCTCATTCTTCAAAGAGAAAAGAGCATATTTGGACTCTCACTTCATTTACCTTCATCTCATTCCTAGCAGGAAACCAGGACCAGGAATTCTTCCCCCCGTTTCACAGCTGGGAAAACAAGGTCCACAAAGTGAAAGACAGTGAAAGGCTCACTGTCCTGTAGGGACCAAGGCAGCACCAGAACAAGAGTCAGCCACCCCTGCGCTGTGTCTCACAGGTCCCATGGCATCTTTCTACACCAACCCCTGGGAACCCCAAGCCCTCCACAACACCTCTTGGCCTTGCCCTCACCTTGTCAATGAAGGAGGCAAACTTGTTGTTGAGGGTCTTGATCTGCTCCCTCTCCTGGGCCTTTACTTGCCCAATCTGGGGGTCGATCTCCACATTGAGGGGCTGCAGGAGGCTCTGGTTGACAGTCACTTCCTGAATTCCCCCGGGAAAGCCCCCAGGGCCAAAGCCGCCAGGACTGCCAAAGCTGCCAGGCCCACCAAAGCCACCAGGGCCACCAAAGCCACCAGCCCCTCCAAAGCCACTACCTACTCCTCTGCCACCACCAAAGCCACCACCATAGCTGCCCCCAAAGCCACTTCCATAACCACCTCCAAAGCCACAGCTGCTACGCCCTCCACCAAAGCCACCAGCCCAGGAGCCGCCAGTGGCCACGCTGATGGAGATGCTCTTGTTGCCACCCAGGTTGTAGAGGCTGCGACTGCCAAAGCCACCTGCTCCGCTCCGGAAGCCACAGGCCCCTCCGCTAGCTCCCCCAGAGCGGGCTACACAGCTCATCCTGCTGCTGCCAGAGACCATTGCAGAGCGGCCGGAGAAACCCTGGCTCCCGCCACTGAAGGATTTCTTGCAGACTTGTCTGTTCATAGTGAGAGAGCTTGGAGGCAAGCTAGTGATCACTTAGCAAGAGATGAGAGGGATGGGGACAACAGAGGAGACTGGCCTTTATATACCACGGAGCTTGGCTTGGCAAAAGGAGAGACAGGCAATTAGCTGAGAGTCATCTTGGGTCTGGTCTGCCTCGTAGGCATTAAGTTACTTCTTGGTTCCAGACACACCTCAAAGATAATCCTCTGGGCCAGAGTGGCTTTGCTTTCTTAGCTTAATCACCTAAACTTGCCTCAGTTGACAAAATGCTGGAGCTCTCCTCCCTCCCTTTGTATGATGTCCTCAAGGGTTTCAGGGAACCCAAGCAACACCTGATCCAGCAGGAGGAAGCAGCTTTAGACACCAGGGGATCAGGAGCCATGTGCTCCATGACACAGGGGTGAGGACCAGACAACCTCTTTCAGGCAGGCTGGGTCCCTCCCTGCAGCGCCAGTGTCTACAGACTCCTGCAGTGGCTGTGCCAGTCTCTCCCATCATTGGGCCTTATCTTCTGATGGCATGCCACCTGTGCCCAACTCTTCAGAGGGCCTGGAGTGGGAGGCCCCTGAGAGGGGCCCAGACCCACAGAGTCTGCTCTGCCAGAACCTCAGCCAAAGGCATCCATCTGAGCAAACCTGGAGTTTGGGCTAAGAAATGCTACTTATGGGAAAGAAATTACAGTGGAGCTAAACATGTCTGGCTCCTGGAACAGAGAGCAACCCAATGTGAGGCTCGGGAAGAGGGGAGACCATGTGCAGAGGAGGAGTCTCAGGCCAAGCCCTCCCCCGACCATCCCAGACTGACAGCAGGCAATTTCTGGACCCAGGAGCAAAACGGGACAGAATATGAAAACCCTCCAGCTGGCTGGTAGAGTTGGTTCAAGGCCCCCACTCATCTTAGGAGGAGAGAGTGTGTTATGTCTAGGCCCCAACTCAGTCTTCTGGAGGGGATCTCCTCCCTGCTTCACTCCCTGGTCTGGGTCAGATGCCCCTCCTTGTCTTCCCACCATACCCTGTACTTTTCCCATCATAGCCATGACATAAAGTATACTTACCTGCTTACTTGTCCATACCCCTCCAGTCCCTGAGCTTCTTGAGGGCAAGACTTGAGTCCCGTCCATCCTAAATGATCCTAAATGTCCAGCACCTAGCATAAGGTAAGCACAGCATGAACGTGTTAACTGACTGATGACTGATGTCTAAAAATGCAAATACCTAAAACCAGCTCCCAGCCCTGTGAGTGAAAATCTTCAGAGGGAGGGCTTGAGGATTTTCATTTGTAACAAGCCCTCCAGGTAATCAATACAATGCAGAAAGTCTGGGAAGCCCTGTCTAGACCGAGGCTATTCCACATGGGCCAGGAGTAGGAGGATGGAAAGCCCTTGATGGCAGAAGGAATGACACATGATGAGCTACCACTCTCACTCCCAAGAACTCAGCCAACCCCCACCCCCATCCAACCCACCTCCACACCCAAACCCACCACACAGGGCAAGAGCAAATTCTCAGGTTGTCTGCATAGGAGATTTCACACATGACAGGAGCAAGGCGAACTGATTTCCCTGAGAAATTGGTGGGGTTCTATGTCCAGAATTCCAGCCAAATTGGCAGTGGGCACTCTGCCTCTCCGAGTTTCTGGTTTCTGAACAGTCCAGACCAGGGAAGACGATTAGTCTGAGAATCTGTGGAGCACCTTGAGTTGAGCACTTCAAGGGCTCTGCAGCTAATTCTCAGCTCTCTGCTCTGCAGCTTGTCTGGCGTCAGATCCCAGATCCACTATCCACCGGCTTTTAGGGGTTGGACAAGTGACTTAACTTTTATGGGTCTGGTTTTATCAGCTGTAAAAATGGGGCTAATAACAGCAAGTACTTCATGGTGTTGCTGTGAGCATTAAACATATAAAATGCTTAGCCCAGTGCTTGACACACAGCAAGCACTATATACTTAGCTACTGCTAGTACTCTATTTGGGAGAATGGGAAAGAGATAACATGTTTGGCCCTGGCCCTTCTCAAGACAATTTTGCATCCCTAAGTAACTCACCAAAGGTGAGGAAAGGAAGCTGAATAGGAGTGAAGAGTTAGAAAAACAACCTGGGATAGAAAAGAGTGAGACCTACACTGAACAGGTAGGTTGGGCGAACTTGCACAGCGATTTAACGTAAGTCTGGGTTCTAACCTGTCAGACCCTTTCCTACCTTGCTGGTTTGTGGTGAGACTTGCAGGATAATGTAAGTGAAAATCCTTTGAAAATCGCAAAATGCCACACAGGAGTTAGACAGTTGTGGTCTAAGAGAAAACCTGTCATCGTGGAAGTCCAAAGACCTAGGTTCAAATCCTATGTCTACCTCTCACTATGTAGCGACCTTGGAAAAGGTACTTGACGTCTCTCTCTCCTTATTTGTAAAATGTGACATCTATCCTACTTGCAGGATTGTTTTGAAGATTTAAATACATAGTGTTCTGCAATATATGTTTGGATTTTTTAATTAACATCATTCATCCACAGACAATCCAGGAAGAGAATTCCATGTCGAGTTCTTCCTTGAGACATTTACTCCACCCTTCCATTGAATGACAGCCCCTCCTGGTAAGGTGTTTCCCCATATTCTCCGGATATTTTAAAAGCAGAAGATCACATGCCCTTCCTAGGAAGAAAGCTGAGCCAGGCTCAGCTGAAGCTCCAGGTGAGAGCCCAAAGCAAACAAGAACAGGCATAAGTGTCTCTGATTCCCTTCCCTCCCTTGGCTGCAGTGCTGAGGCGTCGTGTGGCAGCCTCTGATGTGTGGCTCACCTCTGCCACCCTGGTGTAAGCTGGAGAAGCATGATGGAGAAAGGTGAAGTGCAGATCACAGAAGCATGGGTTTGGGTTGGGTCGCCTAATCCGTGTCACCCGAGCCTGCCAAAGCATCACCTTATTTAGCAGATGGGGATTGTGTTCTCAGCAGTTACATGGAAATACCCAGAGTAGCCATCCTCACCAACATTTCCCTCATTCACTGTAGATCTTTCAGAATGATATCTAAAGGGGCTGCCCACTGCCAGCAATCTGAGTTCCAATCCCTCACCTGCCAGAACCTTGTGTGTAAAGCTTGCCAGATGGCTGAGCACCCCAGATTTTTATTTCCCCACCTATAAACAGGGAGAAATAAAACCAAGTGGAGTTATCCCCTCTAACCAAATTGCTCGCTGGTAGTCAACTGCGGTGAGAAGAGTTCAGATTGCCTGTAACATAATTATGAGCAGAGGAATACATCACGAGACAGTAGTCATGACCCTTGGTCAAAGTGAGCAGACATCCCTCTCCACCCACCATCTGCTGAGGATGAGGGAGCCATGGCTGCAGCCTCTTTATACATGGAAGTTTGCAGATCCCATTTTCAAGATGATCGCCAATTTGTTCTCAAAAATAAACAAAAAAGAATTAACTTTCTGGGTACACTGCCCCTGGACTAGAAATTAGCGTTCTTTTCCGGTTGAAATACTTCCCAGACTTCCTGCATTATAAGGATTACCTGGAGGGCTTGTTAAAAGTGCAAGATTGTCACTAATAAAACAACTTTAAACAATGAACAGTAAAAATAATTATCATATAGAACAAGATTTATAGTGAAAGCTAGATAAAGAAGTAAACATCTAAGTACAACTAAATCTTTATATTTCTAATGTCTTAGCTGTTAGCAATCACAATTTGTTCTGATTCTGGTCTTACCTCTACACTTGATTAAAATACTCTTCAGCTCACCCCTAATTCTTTATCGGGTTCTTGGATCTCTCCCAGGGCTTATGTAGGGCAGAATTCTATCTCCCAAGATGGCCCTTATTAAAAGGTTCTGTGATTACATAAACTGGGGAAATGAAAAGTTTATAGCTCTCTCTTGGGATTTTAGTAAAGTTATTTAGCATACTAAAAGCCCTAAGAAGTCCTATAGAAAATAATCTTTTTACCTTAATTTAATCACAGTTTCCCAAACTTAACCAAAAAAACTCTCTATCTTAACATCTACTAACATGCTACCAAGTATACTTGGGAAATACTAGACTAACTAGCCATCCAGGATGGATGAGAATGTGCAGATAGACCAACCAGGGGGTTACAGCATAAGAAGATGTCCTCATTCCTACAGAGAGAGAGCACTTGCTCCAAGTGAGGTCCTCATCCCTGCAGAAAAAACACTTGCTCCAAGTAAGATCAGGAAGCTGAGAGCAGAGTGAGGCCTGGGGTTGAAGATGCATCAAGAAGAGCACTGGGATGCTGAAAAGTGGATGGGTTCTCTAAAGACCAGCTCTCCCACCAATGAATATTTCTCATCAGTACATGGATTTGGCTGGATCTTTCCAAAAGCCATGGCTCTTTCACTGGCATGCTGGATTTTCTGGAGCTCAAATAACTGCATCTCCTCCTCTCTTCCTGGGCAGCTTGAAGGAGTGGAAAATATGGAAGCCTTGGAATTAGACAAGCCTGTATTCAGATCCCAGCCTTGCCACTTTCCAGTTGTATGGCATCGGGCAAGTCGTTTTGCCCTCTGGGCCTCAGTTTCCCGTTCAGCAAATTGGAGTTAGCACAGCCTCCTCATAGAGTTGCAGTGGGGACTACAGCAGGTAAACTTAGAAAACCCGTACACAAGGCAGGTGCTGAACACGTGGCAGCCCTTGTGATGATGACGTCAGTGTAGGAAGCCCTCCTAGAAAGTGTCAGTTTGGAGGCTGAAGGAGGACTTCTAAGTGATAGCCCATCTTAACGTCAAGGCAACAGGGAAGTCTTTGATAATTTTTGTAACAGGTTACAAGGAATTGTAGTGTCTGTATTGAGAGTTACATAAACACCATTTGCCCATGCCTGGCCAAGCCATTTTCGCACTACAGGTCCTCATCAGTAATGCAATCTATCAATCAGCAAATACTTATTGATCTACTGCATCCTTTCTAGAGGTGTGGGGACTATGTTTCAGTGAAAATAATTTCCTCTTTCAAATCTTTACTCCTATTGCCCAACTGTGAAAAGAATTTTAAAATAGCTAACATTGAACACGTGACATATACAAATCACTGAGTTAGGTTGTTTATATGTATCGTATCTAATTGTCACAAAACCTTTGCAAGGTAGGAATTTTCATTCACATTTTACAGATAACGGCATGAGGTGAATTAACTTGCCTCAAGTCAATTCATTTATGGGCTTTGATCTTAATCAGACTATCCAGCTCCAAAGCCTGTCATAAATTTGTGGATGCTTTTCTTCTACATAGGCTTCAGCAAGTCAAGTTACACCATCCCAAAGTGAAAAGTCCACTTTGACATGTGAAGAACCCAACCATATTCTCTCCACCTGACCTCCTCATGCTCGGTTAGACACCAGCCATGTGCAACGTACCATGCTGGCCAGGCTGACCAAAGTGCTGGTCAGGACAGGCTCTCAGGGACAGGACATATGGGTGGGCATGGAATTTAGGGATGATATGAGCCGCTCCATCATCTGCAATGTAAAAGGCAACGTCCTCACCCTGTTGGAGGAAGAAAAAGAGGCGAGGAGGTTGTGCTGAGCTTGGCTGCTTGCTGGATCTTGGGTGTTGGGATGGACCACTTGGCCCACAGGAATGTTTTGTCACAATCTTCTCTTTTACTTCATTTTTAATTTTTTTGTGAGATGAAGTCTCGTTCTGTCACTGCAGTGTCTGATCTGCAGTGGCATGATCAAGGCTCGCTGCAACCTCCACCTCCCGCCTTCAAGTGATTCTCCTGCCTCAGCCTCCTGAGTAGCTGGGATTACAGGTGCGCGCCACCACATCCAGCTAATTTTTGTATTTTTAATAGAGACAGGATTTCACCATGTTGATCGGGCTGGTCTCGAACTCCTGACCTCAGGTGCTCCACTTGCCTCGGCCTCCCAAAGTGCTGGGATTACAGGAGTGCACCATCATATTTTCTTTTTGTTCACCAAATGGGTAACCGAGATGCACCTTTAAATAATACATTTGTGTTACATGTTTAAAAAAAGAACACCCTTAGAATGTAATGCTCAGATCTGCCTTGAAGCACCAACTTGTGTTGATGAAAATAAACATAAATTAAACTTCATGAATTTCATTTTGGCCTCAAATAGGAACACCCATCATTATCAAGGTATTCTCCTAATCAATCTCGATGGCTTCTCTGACTGGAGATCAGAACTCCCCAGAGTTGAAGGTGGGCCTGCCCACCATCACAGGGCCTCAGCTGTAGAAACCTCTTCTGCTAATGTAGGAACTTTAGGTTTGATTTCTGGCTTAAAACTGCAGATAGTCATTAACACATGTGCCAGGGAGGACATCCTAGAGTCCAAGAAGACACCAGCCGGCCCCGTTCAGCAGCATAGCACAGCAGTTACATGTGTATCCTTTGGATTTGAGGCCAGATCTGCCACTTCCCATCAGCCATGCCATTCTGCTTCTCCAAGCTACAGTGTCCTCATCTAGAATATGAGGATTATTGCTGTCTGCCTTCTATGGCAATTGCAAAGGATGAAATGAGATGACATATGCAAAGTGCCCAGCATATGACTTGCACTAGTCACAAAAGTTAGTTGTTTAATCCAGTTGTTTTTGTTAAATATGTCAGGGCAGTAATTACCTTTAAGAATCTACCCTACCCTTTTCAAAATCTCATTAGCTCAGCGAAGCTCACAGTGCCTGCTACGTGCCAGGCATTTTGCTGGTCACTGAGGAGCACAAAGATGAATCAGGCACAGCCATCCCTTCGATTAACTTCTATTCTAATGTGGAGAACAGACACTAAAACTAGTCTTTTTTTTTTTTTGCTATAGGTTTTTTTTTAATACTTTAAGTTCTGGGGTACATATGCAGAACGTGCTGGTTTGTTACATAGGTATACACGTGCCATGGTGGTTTGCTGCATCCATCCCCCCATCATCTACATTAGGTATTTCTCCTAATATTAGCTCTTCCCAATCCCACCACCCCCTGCTATCCCTCCCCTAGCCCCCCACTCCCCAACAGGCCCCAGTGTGTGACGTTTCCCTCCCTGTGTCCACGTGTTCTCATTGTTCAACACTCACTTATGAATAAGAACATGTGGTGTTTGGTTTTCTGTTCTTGTGTCAGTTTGCTGAGAGTGATGGTTTCCAGCTTCATCCATGTCCCTGCAAAGGACATGAACTTTTAATATAATATGGCACATGATAAAAAGGGGTAAACAAAGTCCCGTGGGAGTCCAAACAGATGTTCAGCACCATGTAGGGTCTAAGAAAGCTTTCAGGAGGCAGTGCCTGGGTAATCCTCAGTGATGAGTGAGGCAGGGCAAGTGGCTGAAGGCAGGGTGAGCATTCCTGGCAGAGAACAGAGCATCAGAGGCACAAAGGCATGAAAAAGCTGAGTTGATACCAGAACTGCAGGCACCTTGTGGGTCATTTGCATAGTTCTTGGAAGTTCTCACCCAAGGCCACACTATTTCCCTGGCTTGTTTCCTATGTCTTCATCCAGAATAAAAGGACATTTCCATTTTAAAACAAACTACTACAAATACATACTTCTCTCAAATCCAGAGTATGTCTCTATTCAGTTCAGCTGTAACCCATATCACTGTAACTAAAGATCTTCTCCCAAGGACACAAGTGAGTGAGATGACCTCTTGTTTGGTACAGCTTTCTCTGCAGTGGCACTGTGAACAGTTCAGGCTGGCCATTTCTATGTTAAAGGGGCCGGCTTGTGTGATGTGAGATGTTTAGTGGCAACCTGGTCTCTACTCTCCAGATGCCCGTAGCACTCCTCCACTTGTGACAACCAAAAATGTCACCAGACATGGCTCTATGCTCCCTGGGGAGCAAAACTGCCCCCACTGAGAGTCACAGGCTTACTTCCACCCAGAGTCATCTTCCCTTCACCATTCAATCTTGTCACCACGGATTCCAAAGTATGAGATTCTCCTAGCACACCTCCATTAATGGTTTCCTAGGAAAACCAAGTCACCTTCAGCCTTCAGCCTGGACTGGAAGTGTTGGTGGTGATTAGCTCTATCTTAGGCACAACAGAGATGTAAGTTAGGCAGTGTGCGTGCCAGAGGGACCTGGGAAGGACATAGTTAAGATACAGATAAAATGTGTGAAGAAGCATTTTCAGAACTTGAGTTTTTCTCAGTCATCCCAAGATACTCTCAAGGTGTCCACATTTTTTGTCTTTGTCTTTGCATAGAGGGAGAATGCACGTGGGCTGAAGTGCTGAGAAGGCAGAGAGAAGGGGCAGACCAAATCCCAGAATGTGAGATCTCTGATGCCTGGCTAACAAACACTCCACCCAGTTGTAGGCAAAACAGAGAAGAGTCACGTAGAGATTTACCTGCAAATTACACAAAACTTTACATGCAAGCCTTGATCAGCAGCAGTCAAGTCTAAATTATCCCTAGGCAAGTGCTGAACTACTTTCGAATTCTTGTGGAAAACAATCCCCTGATTTCCTTAGCTGAGCCTTTTGTAGATGTGACATTGTCACCACTGATGCTTGCTCTGACGTGTAATCTGTATTCTCTCAAAGATGTAGAAGGAAATAACCTGAAATCTAAAAACACAACTTGATCTTCCTAATGGGAAGTGAACCAGTGAATTTACAAGCTCTTAGAACAGGAAAATGCTCTTTTGAGCATTTCTTCTGGGGAAGGCAGTGTGGGGGAGGTTGGAGGGGAGTAGACAGATGGTTAGAATGGGGCGTAGGGTAGAAGTTGGTTCCTCTGTTTCATTGCAAGTGGATATACCTCTCCACACCCAGGAAAGAGAGATGTGGAAGAGAAAGTAAAGAAACTCTTGACCATTGACCAAGGACCCCAAATCCCAGTTTAAAATCCACACTCACAAGTGAGTATTATTCAACAATCACTGAGAGCTCTCTTTATAGGTAAAAACATGCCTTAGAGGACAGGAAAGCCATGGACAATACAGGACTCACTGACTACCTGCAAAAAGAATGAAAAGACTAGTCAAGTACAAGAAGGTACACTCAAGCCCAGTGACCTAAAAGCACTTGAAAAGTCAACATAGAATTGTGCTGCCAGGCATGGTGGCTCACGCCTGTAATCCCAGCACTTTGGGAGGCCAAGGTGGGGGGATCACAAGGTCAAGAAGATCGAGACCATCCTAGCCAACATGGTGAAACCCCAGCTCTACTAAAAATACAAAAATTAGCAGGGCGTGGTGGTACATCACCTGTAGTCCCAACTACTTGGGAGGCTGAGGCAGGAAATCGCTTGAACCTGGGAAGTGGAGGTTGCAGTGAGCTGAGATCACACCACTGCACTCCAGCCTGGAGAAAGAGCAAGACTCCGTCTCAAAAAAAAACCCAAAGAATGATGCAGAGAAACTATGCAAATACTAACGCAAAGGATAAAAAGGAGCACTGGAAGCAGGTGAAGTTCCTGCAAGGGGTTTTCAGCCTGGATTAGGAGCAGTCAGGGCCCGGCAGGGTGCAGTGACTCACGCCTGTAATCACAGCACTTTGCAAGGCCGAGCTAGGCAGATCACCTGAGGTCAGGAGGTGGAAACCAGCCTGGCCAACATGGCCGTCTCTACTAAAAACACAAAAATTAGCTGGGCTTAGTGACGTGCAACTGTAATCCCAGCTACTCAGGAGGCTGAGGCACCAGAATCACTTCAACCTGGGAGGCAGAGGTTGTGATAAGCAGCGACACTGCCACTAGACTCCAGCCTGGGTAACACAGTGAGACTCTGTCTCAAAAAATAAATCAATAAAAGAAACTGTCAGGGCTAGGCTGAGAATATCCAGCCAAGCATGGAGTTAACTCCTTGGGTCTCAGGTCCTGGCACCAAGTTCACCTGCCCTGGCCATTCCTCTGGAATAATGACACCTCGAAGAAATAGCCTCTCTACCTCACTCCTTGTGTGCCCGGCTTTCCTTTAAGAAGCTGCATGGAGCTCCACCCACCCCTCACCACTAGTGGTTGCTTAGGTAGCAGGGGCTCCTATAAACCCCCACAGGAGAAACAAGGGCCATGAGCATAGGTCCAGGAAGGAACAGCAAAGGACAGAGGTCACTGTCTGAACGCGAGACTTGAAACCAGTGGGCACAGTTCCCAGGGAGGCCAGGCCTGCTCTGGGCTTTCCTTGGAGCCAATTTAGAACCCCCCAGACTGCTCAGGTGGGGGGACTCTGGAGAACATGGCCCAGGCTCCACCGTCTGGTCAATTGTGCTCCTGTCCCTGACTCTACATTCCAGGCCACCTTGGTTCTCAGCCTGGGCCCTCTTCTCCACCCTCTCTGTGGAAAAACTCATTAGGTACCATGGCTTTAAAATCTACCCTTAGGCTGATAATGTACAGATGCAAGTATCTAGCCCTGACGGGGTCCCCTTCTGAATTCACAGACTCACATGTCACCTGGACGTCTCATACAACTATCTGATGAGCAGCTCCTCCTTGTCTAAAGCAGAGCTGAAGCTCCTCTCCATACCCGTCCCGCCCTCCCACCCCTCCACTCACCTTGGTAAATGGCACCACCAACCACCCAAGTGCTCACACTGGGAAACTGGGTGTCCTGGTTAGA